GGAAGCCTGTGGTGTGAACACTGAGGGCTGGACTCGTTGTTAGGGACCCAGGGTGCCTAGATACCAACCTTGGTATCTAAGTACTCTGCAGTATTTTAAAGTTTTGGAAAGTCTATGGTTTTATATAGTTGATCAACAATGAGTCTTTTGTTTGGAAGTGGAAATTATGAAAAGAACCCCACCTTACAAAAAAAAAAAAGTAGCTTTTTCCCAGGGGCCCACAAGCTGGAGGAGGCAGGTCTCTGGATGTCAGTGTCCGCCTCACCAGCCAGGGACAGACTGGTGAAGCTGCTGTAAGTCTCCTCCCAGCCTCTAAAAACCCCCAGAGTGGAAGAAAGACATGATGCTGGCCCTAATCTACCTTTGCAAGCCCCCGCACTCCCATATAGCTGAGAGACCCCATGAAGACTATCACACAGGATTCCACTCCAGGTTGATATCCATCCACAGCTCCCATCACAAGCCTCACACTCTTCACCCAGTCAAAGGTCTGACCTTGGAAACCCATTCCCGCCCTTTGCCCTCCCTCCCCAGGACAGTCACCTGCTCAGCGCCAGCAGGACTCAGAGGAGGCAGCATGGCTGGAACCACAGAGAGCAGGCTCAGCACCGCAGGGAACACCAGCAACTTCATGGTCCTGGCTCAGCTCTGTGCACCTGGCCCTGCTGCTGATGCTGCCTGCCCGCCTGACGTGGAGCCTGCTGAGCGGCTCTGGAAGCAGGACCCTGCCCTCCCTCACCCACACCAAAGTCCCCCCTACCCTGCCCAGGTGATGGCACAGTTTTGTTTGGACAGATATGTGGCTCAGCTCTGTGCACCTGGCCCTGCTGCTGATGCTGCCTGCCCGCCTGACGTGGAGCCTGCTGAGCGGCTCTGGAAGCAGGACCCTGCCCTCCCTCACCCACACCAAAGTCCCCCCTACCCTGCCCAGGTGATCGCAGTTTGGACAGATATAAGATATGAATGGAAGCGCTAATCCATGGAATTATGCTCATGATCGCCTGTGGCACTTCTGAGGAACCCTTGTCCGAGGGAGATTGTTTTGAGTGGGAAGTGCTTCACCTAGGAATCTGGGCCCTGACACAAGGGCCCCTTTGTTCCCACCCTCTCCAGGAGCCAGGACCAGCCCTGGTCCTGAGGGACACCCCAGAGCCACTCATCAGTGCCCAGGCTCTCGTCACTTTGAATGAAGTCCCCTCTCCTGCCCTTTCCCTCCTGAGGCCAAAGAGAAAGAGAAAGGGGTCTCTCAGCCCCAAATCTGGTCTGAACCTGTAGAGAGCTAGAATCTCACAAACAAGGTTGTGAACCATGTTTACATTCAAAACATGTCTTCAGTTCCTTGTGACTCTATAGTAAGAATTCTTTTGACCTTTTTAACTGATGGTTTTTATCTTAGCTTGTAAACCTGTACAGTGCACTTAATAAAATGTCTTACACTCTATTTACTAAAGAAGTTCTCTAGATACAAACAAATAAGCCAAAACGTTTTTGCTAAAAATTTTAAATTCTTATTTGTGTGCATATGTGTGTCACATCACATACGTGCAGTGCTTGTGAAGGCCAAAAGAGGGCATCAGATCCCCTCTCTCTCCCTCTCCCTCTCTCTCTCTCTCCCTCTCTCTCCCTCTCTCTCCCTCCTTCCTCCTGCCCTGCTCCCATTTACTCTCTTCTTCCCCTCTCAATACCAATGCCTAAAGGTCATCCTTCACTACATAGCAAGTTTGAGGTTAGCCTGGGCTATAGAGACCCTATCTCAAAAACAAAGACAGAAAGAAGAAAGGAAAGGCGGGAGGGAGGGAGGGAGGGAGGGAGGAAAGAGGAAAGACAGAAGCAAAGATTCAAGGATTTGGAACAGTTAGCAAGCATGTTGGGCCTGTCCCAGGAGGGCAGAAGGGTGGCACTGATGAGTCCCGCAGACCCACAGGTCAGTCCCAACTGCCCAGGAGGCCTCATCAGCTTTCAGATTCCAAAGGTGTGTCCTGGAACATGCTAGATTTCACAGAGCAAAGTACAGAAACAATAGGAGAGAAAGAGAGAGACCACATCTGAACTCAACAGAAGCAAGGGCAACAACCTTCCCTCAGGATGGAGGCTGTGCAAGGGGCGTAGGGGCTGGTCAGAGTCTTATATACAGGCAGCAACTACAGGGGATTTGGGGGAACAGCTTCTGCAGGGGAGATTTATTTTCGGCCATTGTGGTTTCTCTGTGGCCCGGCTCCACACCTAGGCAGGGGGCAAGAGGAAATTCCCGACATAGAACTGGATGGTCAGGGGTCCTGTGCTGTGCCGATTTCCTTCAGAACAATGGCAGACACAGCATAAGCCCCAAAGGTCAGCAGGTCATCTGGCCGTCGTGTGTGTCCACAAGCACTGTCCGAGAGCAGAGGCTGCTGATAGGCAGTCAACCCTCAGGAAGCTGCCACGCACCCTGGATCCATACCTACCCCCAAATACCACCGCCACCCCGCAACCCCACACCCACACCCTCCACCTCGCCTGGGGACAGGGGTTAAACTATCTAGGCCAATGCATAGTGGTCAGCTCTTGGGGAGCCACACCCCCAAGTGAGAAAGGCAGAGCACTGTGTAAGGCAGCCCAGAGCCCACCTGGGGAGCAGGGCAGGGCAGCCCACTACAGAGAGCCTGGAGCTCGGCGGTGGAGCAGGACTCCCGAGTCATTTGATTAGTCCTGTGCGCTTGGCACCATCCAGAAATGCGTCGCTGGGACACACTGGCGCTTCCAGCAGAGACAGGATCTCTGCAGAGGCGGTGCAGGCGGAGCAACGGGGCAGGAGGGGCAGCGGGGCCGGCGGGGCTGGGGAGGCCGGAGGACCAAGTGCAGGCGCTGCAAGTGCAGGCGATGCGCGCGGGCCCCACTAGAGGGCGCTGCGGAGGCCGCACGGCGGAAGTCCCTCGCGGGCTGCCGTAGACGCGGGTATAAAGGACGCGGCACGGGCCTGCGCGGCCTCTCGACAGCTATGGCGGCGAGCGGATCGTTGCATCCTTCCTTTCCACGGCGGCCGAGGGACGCGGCCCCGCCGCGCTCGGGGCCTATTGGCCGGGGAAGTCCGCGAGTCTTGTGCTGACGCTTTAAGAACCCTGCGGCTTTCTCTCTCTCCGACAGTTCTACGGTCGGTGCAGCAAGCAATGTGGTAAGAGGGAGGACGCGGTTCGCCGCGGGACCGAGGCTCGGTGGTCGCCCCCCCTCCCGCATCCCTATTTGGGCCTCCTGGGGTCGGGTTCCGAACCCCAGCTGCGCTTCCCAGGCCTGGGGAGCACCAGGGTCTCCTGTGTGCGCTCCTTATTGCACGTGTAGGAGAGGGTTTTCTGCGAAAGGAGAATGTGCCCCAGCGCTCCCGGAATAGCAGCTCCGAGACTGACCAGGCACACCGGGGAGTGCTCCCCCACGTGACCCTTGGGACACAGCAGCCAGTACCCTGTCGTGCTTCCCGCAGCCTCACTAAATTGAGGAGGGAGTGCTGTGGGTTAAGTATTTCCAGAAAGCCTTAGCAAGAAGGCAAAGTCCTCGTGGACCACATGGAATGAAATACAGTCCTTATCCACTATGAACGTGCAAGGTGTGCACACAGTGTTTATTTTGGAACTCAGTGGTTAAGAGCACGGGCTGCTCTTCAGAGGACCCGGGTTCGATTCCCAGCACCCACATAGCCACTAACAGCTGTACGTCTGTGACTCCAGTTCCAGGGGATCCAACGGCGCCACCCCTTCTGGCGTCGGGGCTTCACCCCAACAGGGGTGTGCTCACATACATACACGCAAAACGCTCGTACATGTAAAACTTTTTTTTGATATTTTTATTTTATGTGTATGAGTATGGCCTGCATGTATGTGAGTGCACCCGTGTCGTACAATGCCGCAGAGGTCAGAAGAGGGCTTCGAATTCTGGGATCCAACGGCGCCACCCCTTCTGGCGTCGGGGCTTCACCCCAACAGGGGTGTGCTCACATACATACACGCAAAACGCTCGTACATGTAAAACTTTTTTTTGATATTTTTATTTTATGTGTATGAGTATGGCCTGCATGTATGTGAGTGCACCCGTGTCGTACAATACCGCAGAGGTCAGAAGAGGGCTTCGGATTCCCCTGGGACTGGAGTTAAGGACGGTTTGTAGCCACCGTGTGGGTGCTGGGAATGGAACCCGGGTCCTCTGCAAGAGCAGTCAGTGCTCTTGCTGCTGAGCCATCCCTCCAGCCCCCTAAAACATTTCTTTAATTATGAAAAATGTTTTTCTTTTCTAGGGACTGTGTCCACTGGAAAGTAAACACCAAGAGGAGAGGCTGGAGTCTAGGGTAAGTTGACCTTACTGGTACTAAGATGGGCCCAGGGAGGTCACGGGCAGGGTCCTTGGCTCCACACACTGCCCCTAGAGGCGTTGCAGGTGTGGCTGCCATGTCACACGTGTGTCAGTAGGTGGCAGAGAGGAGAAAGGCTATGTCTACGCTCAGTGTTCTGACCAGTGAACATCTGAATGATTAGTAGCCTGACAGTCCCTGAAGCCGAGCTGTGGGACCACCCTTCTCCCAGGTGGCTGGCCCAAGTTATTTGGTGCCCTTACATGTAGGCAGCTGTTGCACAGAAAGGGAGTTTTTGTTAATTGACTTGTTGAAGACAGAAACCAGTAACCTTTAAAGGGGGGGGGAGGCAGGGCATAGTAGTACATCCCTCAATCCTGGCTAAAAAAGAAAAGAACAGTGGTGACACTAAAGCCTTCCTTTCAGGATATAAGTGGAATTGTACCAAATAATTTGCAGTGCTTAGCCAGCTATGTCCAGAATGTGAGGCAGCTGTGTATCCCCATTAATCCAGCTAAGAGGGGCTTCCAGGGTGCTGTCCATGGTCTGAGTTTCTCCAGTGCACTGCTTTCTTAAACTGGCAGAGCTGTGGGCCAACTCTAGGGTAAAGTGCTTGCCTAGCCTGTGTGAGACCCCAGTCTCCATCCTTAACAGTGCAACTGGCCGACCTCTGGGGTGCAGTGGTTCACCATTCAGCAGAGATTCCACTTTCCACTGGTTCAGTTACCTGTGGTCAGCCACAGATGAAAAATACCAAGCAGTAAAGTGTGAGGTGGGGTATTGTGCTGTCTGGCTCCGGGGGTGAGTTGTTCCTCTACCCAGCATCCCTGTGGTTTTATGCTAATCAAAACAGCTGTTGCATGAGTGTGGTCCTGTGTTCAGCCCTCGTAATGCTGACAAT